GCCTCATGTAAGAACATGACTCCAATGAAAAGGGACCTTGGAGCCACCCTCAGCACCAGGTGAGTGCATTACTTCACTTCATTTTATTCACTTTTCCTTTGTAACTAATCTCTCCCTAGTGCTATAGTTTCCAGTCTGCCTGTCCTACCTGCCCCAAGATGGGTTCCCAGGTTGAGAACTGAGGCCTACAAGCAGCCGGATGGGAATTCTTTAGAAGGAGCCTCCTGCCATCCTTTGCAAGAGCCCTGCACCCACACACATGCCAAACCCATCACAGGTTACATTGCTTGAGTCCTCAGACCCAACTCAGGACAAAGCCTGGAAAACTCAGTCTTGGAGTGACTGCAGTGGCAGCTGTGCCCTCTCTTGACACCAGTTCTGCCCTAGTTACTCACCTCTTGCTTATCTATGCTTGTTCCTTCAAGGCGACCATTCACATTGGATCCCACACTCCCCACCACATGCCACACAGTGAGGGTGTGATAGGTGTCCTGACAAGTCTAACTAGAGACTCTTGGAGGAGCAACCCACTGTGTCCCTGTGTCATGGCAGCCTCAAGCCCCTACCTCATGTAGGTACCAGCTGGGCAGATCTTAAGGCTGCTTCCATTTCTTCAAGTCTCTGCCCTTTGCATATTCTTGCACAGTTAATCAGCGTTGCACAGCCTTTGGGGAGAGTTCTGGGAAGCGTTATCTTTCCATCCTAGTATCACAGTGGTAAGACTTCATCTCTTGTGTTCTTTCTCCCTAGACTGTGGCAACAAGTATCACATCGTGAGACACACAGAAGTCTGTGTGATTGACCATGTATGGTCCATCCATCCTGGCGCTTCCGTGAACTTGAATGTAGGACAAAGGTCCTTGAAGATAGCCTCTATCTTCAACAGCATGTGGTCAGCACAGAGCCTAGCCCAGACTGAATGAACATCCAAATCTGAAAATAAAGGGATAGATGGTCTCTGTCCCTAAGCCTTGTACAGCTCCTTAGGTCTCCTTGATCATAGTCCTGGCCCTTTAAGTGTGCGCAGGGATGCTAGGACCCTTGATCTCTGACAGCACACACACACACACACACCACACACACACACACACACACACACACACACACACACACACACACCACACAAGCCTTCTCAGGAGCGGGAGGAAACATCTAGGAGGGGCAGACGCACGGCCGGAGCCTGGAGCCTGGGCCTGGGTTTGGTCCCATCAAGTGTGGCAGCCATTGGTTGCTAGATTGAATGGTTTGAGAGTTGGTGAATCACAGCACTGGCCAGCTCCTCTAGGACAACCTGACCTGTTGACCCTCAGCAGATTGAGTTTCCCTCTAACACTGTTGGTTTTGTGGCAGTCGCCCTTATTTATTCATTTATTGGTTTCAGGCATGATTATGCTTACTGTTATATTCTTCATCTATCTCATGTTCATTTTGATTTTATTTCGCTATCACAGTATTTATATCAAGTACACAACATGAGCGATCGATCGCCCAGTGACATTTCCGTACACGAACATGGAGAGCTTTGAATGCATTCCCCTGATGACACTGCCTACTGCCCACCCCTTCCAAGCCCCTCACTGTTTCCCTTTTCTGTTCAGCACCTTACTTCCCAAGTACAAGTACGGGCCAAGTGCCGTGGACTCCTGTCCAGAGGACTGATGGGCACACGGGATGGTCTCTTAAGGAAGAACACCAATGTGTCTCTGGGCTCTAGCACAAAGGCTCCTCCTAGCTGGTTATCTCAGGATCTTCCTGGCAGGTCAAGCGGCATGAGTCCAACAAAGGGGCTAGAGACAAGAGTCACATCGGATCTTGTGATGGTAATTGTGGAACAGGGCAGCTGAAAAGGAATTTAAGGATAGAATAAGTGTAAGTCTAAAAGGAGCTTGTTCTTTGAGGAAGGACGGGACTTTCCTTGGTGAGACTTGCCATGCCCTGTCCCTCCAGCCTCCTCCTGTCCTTCTCGCTGCCTGCAGCTGTACGTTCATGGGTTATCTTCTGTCTTAGGAGGGCGATTATGGCAGCAAGCTAGGGTGTTACCAGGCACCGGAGGGGAGGGCAATAATGATTTTGAAGCATAGGGTCGAGCCTGTGCTCTTGAGTTCTGCTGGTCCTACAGCTCAAAGAACATATTCAGGAACAAAATCCGCCTAGTGCTGGAATGATCTGCCCGGCACTGCACAGACCCCAAGCCCCAAAATAAACACCTGTCTTTTTGTAGAAACAGGGGAGCGGGCAAGGGCAGTCAAGGGCAGTCTACCCAAATTTCCAAGTCTAGGCTTGGAAAAAACTCCTTCCTCCAACCTTAATCTTTTCATGTTTGGGGAAAGGCAGTGGGTAACAGAACCTTCATGGTCCAGCACCAAAGCCCTTCAGGTTCCTTTCTGTTTTGCCAAGGTGTTGGTGATGAGAGGGAGGGTCTATGTTCTAATGGCAATCAGATGTTAGATTCCAAAACTCTAATATCTGATTACAGAACTGGCCAGTTACGCTTTGGTGCCCGTTGCTGGACAGTACCTGTGTCTCCCTTTCATTGTGTGATGGTTTAGTTAACTAGACTTGCTATCCCGTGCTCAAGTGCGTGATGCACGTTTCTCTGAAGAGTGAACATCCTTGTGGACCTCCTGTATACTTCCACCCAGTTTCTCTGGTGTATGTGCTGTAGCTTGGGCGGGTGCTGTGAGGTCCACTTAATGTGTAAAACTGATGACTTTTGGTGGGAGGTGACAGCAGCTTAGCTTCAGGAGCATGGAAATGGCTGATCAGCCCTCCACCCTCAAGCGTTGTTGTCACACACACTTGTGGCTAGGCCCCGTGTCTAACAGCAACCATGAACTTATGAAGCATTGGGAACCCAGGTCATGCAGAAAACAAAAGCAGTCCTTCCTCATCTTCTCTTTGCTGTTGCTTTCGTATTGGTGAGGCAGGGTCTCCTGTAGCACAGGCTGGCCTCAGCATCCCTGTGTGGCCAAAGGGGACTTGAACTGATCCTCCTGCCTCCACTTTTCTAGCTTTTCCAACTGCCACGTGTTTATCCTTTATGAGACTTTCCTGACTTTCACCGCAACCTCTTGTCCAAGGTCCATCAGCTGACCCTTGAAGGACTCTCAGTAAGGGCACAGCTAGTTGTATCATGTCTAGATGTAGTGTGTGTGTGTGTGTGTGTGTGTGTGTGTGTGTGTGTGTCCTCCTTAAGGTTTGGGTGTCAAAAGTCTGTCCCACAAAGAATCAAGTGTTTGAACATTGTTCCAACCAGGTGGCACCCCGTGGGGCAAACGGTGGACCTTGGGCAGTGGGCCTAGCAGGAAGAGGTGGGTCTCTGGGCATCACTGGGGACAGACACTCGAGTGTAACCAGCTTCCTCAGGCCCCTACTGCCCCACCGCCCAAGACCAGCTTTCCTGTCCCTGAGGACAGAATGTGAGGGAACCCAGGGGAATGTGCCTAGGGATCATTGGTCCATTCCATGCTCTGCCATCACAAGGAGCCATTGTGACACCTATCCACTTAAGGCTCTGGCTGAGCCTGCTTCCTGTCTTGCAGAGCAGAAGCTCTTGGTTGGAGAGCAACTGGACTTCTGTGCCCCTGACAGACTATACTCGCATTTTAGAAGCTGTTTTGACCACCATATAGTAAGTTCCTTCTGTTCTCTAACCTACAATATTTTATTATGTTTGTTTAATAAACATAAACTCTCCTTCTATTCCCTCCCTCACACGCTCATACCATTCTCCACTCCTCCTGTCTTACAGAGCAGAAGTTCTTGTTGTTAGAGAGCAACTGGACTTCTGCACCCATGACAAGACCTACTTGGATATTTGAAGATTTTGAACCATCATATAGTAAGTTCCTTCTGTTTTCTCTCTGAGAACATTTTATTATGTTTATTTAATAAACAGAAACTCTCCTCCAATTCATGATAAGGACCCTCTTGGTTTTAAAGTAAAGATTTATTTGGGGATGGGGTAATCTGGAGAGGTGGCCCATCAGTTCAAGATCATGTACTCTTGGAACTAGGTTTGATGTGCAGCTCTTCTTGGGAGAGCCTAACTACCTGTAGCATTATATAGATAGACATTATCACCATGTAAGTGATGTGTCGTAGCAGTGAGTGCACTTGCGTGTGGGCGTGTGAACACGTGTATGGATGCCCTCAGAGGCCAGTGGTGTAGAATCTCCTCGAGTTGGGGTTGGAGCAATTGTGAGCCACCTGACCTGGATTCTAAGAACCAAATTTAGGTAGGTCCTCTGCAAAGCTAGTTGTACCTGGACTCAGGGGCTGGCTTCCCAGCCCGGACACCGCTGGGTTTGGAGGGTGTCTGTTGTTCTATATACTTCTCTTGCATCTAATTTTATTAGTGCCTGCTCTCTCACAGTACAGGTGAGCTCAGGGTTAGGGGATGACCATCCTTTCTTATCAGTGGCTTAGTTTCTAGAATCCTTTGGTTGGTTCTTCCAGTTTGCAGTTGATTCCTGTCAAACCAATCTGTCAATTTTGCTCTACACTGCTTTGGAACATACTTCATTCTTGTCTATCTAAGCATTTAAGTACCCAGTTAGGTGGTCTGAAATGTGTCTGACCTCTTCCTTCCTTCCTTTCCTAGTCTTTTGGATGTAGGAATTCATAGCTCTAAATACTCTCCTAGGGCCTGATTTTAACTCTGTCAACTTTCTCATTGAACTTTTTGGCTCTAGCCGTATGAAGGAGGAGGGCCTGACTCTGAAGCAGGGCATGGAGGCCTGCTCCTCTGTGGAGGACCCCTTCAACACCGATTATAGAATGATGATGACTCTGGGACACGGACATTTTTCTGAAGTTAAACTCGCCTTCCATGTGCCCACTGTGACCTGTGTGGCTGTAAAACTCCTTAGAAACAAGAAGAAGTACAATTCGATTTTTAATAGTGAAATCAGCGTCATGAAATCCATGAACCATCCAAATATAATCAAGCTGTTTCACGTGATCGAGAAGGAAGAGATCACCTACCTGGTGATGGAGCACGCCTCAGAGGGAGAGCTGCTGCGGCGCATCCTGGAACGGGGGTCTTTACCGGAGAGCGAGGCTGAAATGATATTTACTCAGGTGGTACACGCAGTGAATTACTGTCACGAAAATCAAGTTGTCCACAGAGATATAAAAGCCACGAATATTCTTATGGACTGCAGGGGGAACGCCAAGCTGATTGATTTTAGTCTCTCTGTCAAAGTAACTCCTGGGCAGAAACTGCGGGGTTTCTGCGG